AAGAACACTATATTCACTTCAATACAGTAGCGTCTAGTATAAAATACCATCAACAAATTCATTTCTTTTCCAACACATATACTTGATCATCTCTTTTATTCTATGATTCGAAATTAGCTTTTCTTCTATGTACAACTTTCTAATACTGAACTAAATGTGAGTCTTCTATTCTCTAATACTCATCACCCTAAAAGATTGCATCATTTTAAGCATTGACTTATTCTATCACTTTTCCCTTGTCTGTATTAGATATGGGCAAAATGGCGTCGGTTTCAGCAGAATCGGAGATAAATTTGTTTGACCGGAAGCATTTTTTAAGGCTGGGTTCGGAGCCAAATTTTTTTTCTAACTGAGTTCTAATACGACTAGTCTCGCTCATGTTTAGTTTGTATGTATCAGAGAGTGAATCGAATCGAGTCTTACTGATTCAAGTTCAGTTTCTTGTATGTATCATCTTCAGTTTTTGAATAAAAATTATCTTAACACTTCTTTCCGAACCTGTGAAAGATTAGAATACGTAGTGAAGTAAATATTAACAATTGAAAGCTATGTTCATTAATTATTTTCTTATGAAACTTTTTCCTTATTTATATAACAGTGATCGAATCTTATGATAATTAGGATTTAATCTGGATTTTAGACAATATTTTGTTATGTTCGGGTTTTTGAAATTTAATGAACAGATGAGAAAATATCTTGTTCCGAAGTACTATTCTATTTAATTGCAGTAGAAAAAAACCAATGATATTATCGATTTATAATTTTGTTATTATTCTATATTTAGACACGTCAGATTCTTGAACGAGAATTTCGTCTTCTAATTGCTAATGGTACAGATCGAAAAATGGATGAAGTAAGTTGAAAATTCTTCATTAAAAAAAAAAAACAATAAACACCTGAATATTCGACAAAAAAATGAATTTTATGGTTTTTTTGTTTTTCAGTTATAATTCCGAGAGGGTAAAATAATACAACAGTATGTTTGTTTTGTATGTCACTATGCTTTTATCCCTATCGGTTAGTATATGTGAGGAAAAAACAGCGGCTTGTACTATTGCTTTATCCCTTTTTTTTTTGTTTAATATTGTCTTGGTGAATCAGACTAAAAAAGAAATTCACCAGAAGTTTTTTTTTCATCCATTTGTAATCGAATATAAATCAATTGAATTATTTTCTTTAGAATGATCGAGCAAAATTAAAACGTCATCCATCATTATTCTCACGAAAATTAAAACATAAAGCAACCAATGGAGATTTAACAACTCATAATGGAACTGATACATCGACTACTATTCAAAATGATGAATTATAAAATTGATAGTTTCTTTTCTTTTTTTAAATGCATTTGTTCAGATGTGTGGAATTATCTTTTTTCTTTGTCTCATAACATCAAATATCTCAATTTATGTGTGTTTGTCAGAATTTTGTTTTTCTTATAATGCATTTGCACGATTATTGTCTTATAAATGTCTATTTTTTATTAATAATGAACACATATGTTTGGATTTTTTTGCGCACTTGAGTGTTTGTTTGGACTAAAATTTTTGTCGTTTTGTTTTCTTGGATGGTTATGCAATAAATTATAAATTGATTATTGATCACGTTTTGTAACTTAATGAATGCAGGCACATATTAGACATGTAGTTTCAATGCTTGGTTTTTTTCTTCTATGTCTATTTCAAAATTGAATCAAGTATTTTCCATGAAATTCTACTTGATGTTGATAGCCAACATGTATTTTTCTTCTTTCTTTTTTTTGCTGTTGTTGTTGTGCAGTTGATAGAACAATAAATGATTATTTTAAATGTGTCCTAATAACAATTCTGATTTCTTTTGTTGTTTATCATAATGTATTTATTATTGAGCTCATTTTTTGTTTTTCTTTCTTTGAATTGTTGATGAATTTCATATTCTTTACAGATTTATATATACTACTTACGAACATAATTTTGTTTGTTATTAACAAAGAAAATATGTGTATGTGTGAAATAATCTTCGTTTTTTTTGTTTATTGGATGATTGTTGTGTGTATTTTTTTGTTCTGTATATTGCTCTAATTGTTTTGTTTAAGAGCATAATTGGAATTTTGAAAACATTCGGAAACAACAATTTAAATAGAATTGTATCTTATCAAAAAAGAATAACATTCATTAATTCAATTGAATTATATGATTATTGGTGGATACTTATTATTTATGGATTGCTGTTTATAGATTTTCTATCTATTGATGCATATTTCAAGAATTGATTTATAACTACAAAAAATCGGAACAGATGGAAGATTTCTGCCGAAAGAAAAATTTTAAAAATTTACATATTATTTCGTGGTTTTTGATAAATGAGACTTTTGACAAGAAAAAAGTGAAGAACTGTCTTTATTGATCAACTACAGTATATCTGATCGAACTGAAACTTTCTTCTACTTATACTATAGAATGTCTACCTATTTTTATTTCAAAACACGATGTATTCCTGATATATGCCAAGCTCTACCAAAAAAGCTCCAGTTGAAAAGAATAGAAAAAAAAAGGTGCATTTTTTAGATTGCTCTTAAGATTTGATGTTTTTATTTGATTGGTAGGAGATAAAAACAACCAGGCAACTCATACAGTGTCTGGTATCTATAAAAAGACTTTCAGCTCTATCAAGCATATTGTGACTGAGAAATGCTGAGGAAGGAGCATTTTTTCGTTCCTGTGATTCCAATATCTCCTACGGAGATGCATCTGAGAATGATGAGCCTACGACAAGTTTTGCTTTGTTTATTGAGCTAAAAGTGCTGAACTCAGCAGAGCATTTTTGTAGTCGCTTGCAAACGCATTCGACCTTCATACTTTTGCGTGTTTTTCGCTGTAACAAAATCTGTAATTTGTGTTGCGATGTTGTAGAGAACGGCGAGTCGCTAGAAATTTATTTGAAATTTGTCAGAAAGATTCATGTCTCGAGATGATACAAACGTTTTTGAATCTTCAATATAAGTTTTTGTTCATCTTCAGTAAGTTCTGCAGAAAGGTGCTTTTGACGATTTGGTCTCTATCTTTTACCCGAAATAATTAAAAGTTGTAAGCTCGTCTCCAATCAACTGTTGTGAGTAGGAAAGATAATAAAAACCTTCGAGAGAACATAATCGACTCTAGGTGAAATCGTTTATCATCCTTATGTTAATTGAAACTCCATTGCCGAAAATTAAGATCGATTCGCACCACATTCATGTAGTCCTTTACAAGTTTTCTTTTTCTTTTTTTACTTACTAGATAAACACATCAAAAGTTATCTTTTTCTGTTACGATGATCTCAAGAACGAAGAGTCAAAAAATACCCACATAGACGATCTTGTACTGTCTTAATCACGCATCGAAAAAGATAAACATTGTTTTAGCAGCGTGGATTTGTAGAGAATCATTTTCGTACGAAATTCTTATGTTTGAAATCCAACTGATTAAATTTCTTAAATTCTTTACCTTTATTATGCTATAAATAGCTACAAAGACGTAACACGTAAAAATCTGCTATATATTTAGTGAGATCTACACTTAGGTTGTTGCTAGGACTTCGGTCAACTTTTTACTTCTGCTATTCATGGTGTAAGAAAGCTATATAACTTAACGGATATAATTTGTTTTGATTATGTATAATTTTATAATGTTTCACTATTCTTCAGTAGATGTAATTATGTAAGAATTTCGATCAAAACTGTTCACCTCTAGTTTTGTTAGATAAAGGAAACTTTCTTCAAGTGAGAGTTAATTATGATAAATTATATTTTGTTTTCGGTGGTCGAGCTCCACCTCTTAGAACGATGGAATGATGATATGCATAAATCATTAACAAGGTAATGGATGGATGTTGTTCGATAGTAGATACGCCAGATCGTGGTTCCGACCTTCACAAAATCATTCATATTATTTTTCAACTGTTCTGAGAGATGGAACTTGGCTGCCAACAAAATATAGTGCAGTACAGACTTAAATTCAAAAGCAAAAGTTTTTCTTACACAACAAAATCAGAGTTGAACAGCTATGATTGCAATTCTAATATTGTTGCAGCAAATGAAAGATGGTGAAATGCTATAGAATCATAGAGCATTGTTTGGACTCTCAATATATATATATATAAAACTTTATCTAGCCCTTCTATAATTTCGTATAGTGCTACTACCACTGCTTCACATATACCCTAAATATATTATCTAATTCACTCACATCTGAAAAATAAACATCATCAATACCATGCCGTTTATCTCGTTGTTCTTGTCAATTAACAATCAGTAAATCTTCTCTAATCAAATTGCACATATTCAAAAGTATTTATCAAATGAAAGAATGATTTATCGCCAACATACAGTTCCATATTCATTAAAATGTCATCCTTCACAAACATTAATAAGTCCTAACTCGTCATTATCTATTAATCGACAACAATATCAACTTGAATCAACACTATATCCATTAAAAAAAAAACTTTTCTCAATCATCTAATCCTTCTCATTATGCTCAAAACTTATTCATAAATAGAATAAAACAAAAAAAAAAGCAAAAATATTTATCCTTCGATACCACCAATTGTTGTACAAAATTCTTCTACAATAATAAGTCTATCAAATACATTCAATGAATCAATATTACCAATTATTTAATTAGAAAGTGTTAATTTAGCAATCTATTGTTGAACATGATCATTATGATATGGATCGTTTTGTTTTAATGAAGAAGAGACAAATTATTCCTATTCTATGCATACTTACATAAATAAACTCGGATTAGTAGAAAATCTTTATGGTATAAAATATATTTAATATCAATCAATCAATACAAGTCTTCAAAGATTCATCAATATTGATCAATAAAAGTCATCGTCAAGTTCTAATTGAGATAAAATGTTTTATCAGATCATCTTAATTTTTATTCTATATAAAACAGAACACATTATCAGAGACACTTAGCACAAAAGAAAATCAAATATTATTTTGTAATATAATAATGATCAGAGACTTAACCGAACTAAGCTGAAGCTACTTTTGCTTCAGATCGGCGGTGTTCAAGTGCAATTTCAGCCATACGCCGACAAAAAAACCATTCCTATAAATGAAGAATATTGAAACAAACAAAATACAATGAAAATCTACGAACCATCAAATCCATATGAAAATCAAAATCATCAATATTCCACTGTTTAGCTATTTCTTCAGTACCCCACAAACCTGGGTATTGATTTATTCTATAATCTAGTTTAAGCAATATTATATTGAGACGGCTTGATATATAAAGGTATACATACATTCATGTAAATAGTTGAGTTGTTCATTTGTTAATTTCTTTTCGATTTTAACAACTTCTAAACGAACAACATTCTCATTATGAATATTTTCAAAAATGATCAATCAATCGTTATGCAAATGGAATCTATTAAATGAAAAGATTCATTTATCCATTTATCATTTGATGTTGGGATAATAATTAAAAAGCAACTGTATCATTTCATAATCGACCTTGTTTTATCTATTTCTGTCATTTTCTAGGAAAACTTCAAGGCAAAGATTGATTTCATTGTTTAACGTTAAATTCTATTGTCAACGTACTTGAAATGAATATTATTCTGAGTTATGAATTATATCAACATTGTATTTCTCAGCTTGGATGTGATCATAATTATCCTATATATTGAATGAACGTATAGTTAATCGAGATCATAATCTCTTTAGACCTACTTATTTTTCCACCAATATTCACTATTCTATAAACATAATGAATATGCATCCTTCTCTCAGACATCAAACATTTATAGTTTGAATTTTTTTCATGAGAAAGTTCCAATAACAGAGGAATTCTTCATGAAAGACTCAGAGATTTCTGCACTCTATGAATCTCTAATAGATTTGATTGCGAATAGAAATTATTTTCTACGTATTTGTTTTTAATTTATGTGTACAGTTATGACTTATTCATGATTATACTTGTATTATTAATAAATTGTCAACGATAGAATATATAGAAATGAAACAACAAACATATTTTATATTTATACTAATTCAACAAAACAATAAAAAATGCATTTAATTCTCTAGATATAACAACTTACTTGCAGCACATCCATCAAGATATTCCCGACGAAAACAATAATCAGTCATGATAAAAGGTCAATAAGAATAGGTCGATCGAAGATTTGTACTCAGATATTGATTTCTTGCTTCCGATTAACAATTCTTAAATCAATTTATATATATGCGAAATACGCCCTGAAGGACATAAAAGGATCAACAAGCAAACATGCCGAGCTTTGTTATATGAATAGTTGCATATGACGAGCAGAGCCGCTGTTATATACAAATATTTGAACGCAAATGAAATGACCTTATTGATGAACGAGAGAGAAAGAACAACTATATGTGTATGTGAATAAATAAAGTATGTTGTAATAATTTATTTGATATGGAGTATGTGTTTCATTGTTTTTATTAATGAATCGCAAAGAAATCAATTATGCAGTTTTTGATTCGATTTTTTTTCGTCAGATAAATGGGTTTTTTATTTTGAACAACGGAAATACTCAAATAGATTATTTAATTGAAAAATATTTAAATTTATTGTTATTAGCGAATGAATTTATATGCTCGAATGATGAATGTGTGCTATAAATGAAAGTTAAATAAAGAAGAGAATCGTTAATGGATATACATAATTCTCTTTATATTGTATTAATAGTTTAAATTTCAGAGAAGAATTTTTCTTCAATATTTTTTTCTTTGATCTTGACAAAGAAAACAATAAAAAATGTTTCAATTATGATAACTACTAAACTCTATCAATCCATATAGTGAAAATCGATACAAAGCTGACGATAATATCAAAACATTCCGGTTAACCACGATTTTGTTTCCATTGTCACCAGATGAGGGTGTGGGTGTGTGGTGTGGGTGGGTGTGAATGTGGGTGTGGGTGGGTGTGGGAG